AAACTAGTGAAAGACACAACACTAGAGACATGCAATATAGTGCTCAAATGATCAAACTAGCTCAAGACAGAGCTATATCATGCCAAAACATTGGCCTAATCATGCTGAAACTAAGGCACAAAAGGCAAGAGAAACATGCTCATATGTTAGCTCTCAAACAAGGTACAAAGCACAAGTCTCAAAAGTATTGAAAGAGAGAAATATGTGAGAGTGTGACTACACTATATGCACTGAAATTACATACTAAATGATGCCAAAACACAGAATCACCACAAGCAAAGCATGCTAAAGGCCATAAAACTCAAAGCTAGTTAAGGCACTTTACCATAGCTATAAAAGGCAATCCTCAAAAGGTCAAGACCACTTAAAACAATCCTCAAGCATGCTAAATCAGAGCCAAGAGCATGCTGGAATCAAGCTAACTCATGGTAGAATGATAGGCTAAATCATCACACGTGCTAGGCTAGTATGCAAGATTACACTACAAGTGCAAGAAGCATGCAAGAGGTGACCAAACCAGCCAAAAACATAATTATAACACGGCAAATCAGTGGCAAAAACATGCTTAAACCAAGCTTCAAAAGGGTAGAAAAGCATGCTCACTTGGTAGGCCATCAACACATGCAAACAAGACATGAAGAGGGGGGGACCACCCTCTCCTATTTTGGACCTCAAAACCACCTTTCAACCACTGAAATTCCTCTGGAATTCAGTGGTTTGAAGGCCAAGAAAATATTATTTTAAGGGCTTTAAAAGATGGCAAAGAACTTAGCAAATAAGCAATGAAAGAGGGTGGACGACCTCTAACTCCAACAAGGACTCAAACCAACATTTTTAAAACTCAAAAAGAGAGGGTTTTGTAGTTAACAACTAGGCCAAAATAGCATGCAAAGGTGGCCTACACTAGTGTACAAAAACAAGCTTAAAAGGGGAAGAAGCTTACCCTTGAAGAACAGCAGCAAGACAGCAACTTCTAAGCCAAAAACCAACCTTCAATAGCCCAAATAAGACCCTCGAGCACCTCAGCAACAAGGTAGTGGTGTTTGACTAGGTGTTCTAGTGCAAATGTGTGAAGAAAATACACTTTCAAGCACAATATATATATATATATATATAGAGAGAGCGAGAGAGAGAGAGAGAGAGAGATTCGGCTCTTCAAAATTCTAAACCCCTCTCAAGGGGGAGGGACCTCCCCTTATATAGAAAACGAAAGCCAAAGCTTCCTAGACAAGCTAAAAGCTTGTTTCCATCCCTCCATGTGTATGGAGGATGGCTTCAGTGTTCAACAGCTGGCACAACTGGCACACAAAATATCTGAAAAAGCACAAAAAAGGTCACCAGCCATTATCAGTGGCCGACCGGCCATTAACGAGGCCGACCGACCATTAGTGTAGCTGACCGGCCATCACTGATGGCCGATGGACATAAGCCCTGGCCGATGGGTTGTAGGGCTGCCAGAGAGGCCACTCTCTTCCCCTAGAAGCAAAGCTACAAGCCCTTGGTCCACAACCAAGCACCAAACAGACAAGTTGAGAGGCTCCAAGGCAAGGCGCTCAGCCGAGACCCTCAGGAACTCAAAACGAACACGAACATAGATAATCATCGAGTGTTCAAACGATGACGTCCAAGTCTTGAAGATGGTCAAAAATGGGGTGTCTACAGTTGCCCCTTTTTGACAGAACTCGGAAGTCATGAAATGACAGGAATGAATGTCAAAGTCCAGAGACGACCCATTTTTGACAAGGCCGAAGACTTAGACAAACATGCAAGATAACAAGTAGATACACCCGCAGGCTAGGGCGAAATACAAATGACATGTACAATGCCGAACACAACTTATGATCATGCAAAGAGGGCTGTAACGAAGCATTTATATGCAAGAATTATGCAAAGGAATGCTATAGCAAACTCGTAAGCAAACGCGCTATGCGTGGGAACTACAAACCGAACTACAGTTCATGTAGAAAGAATGTAAGAAACTATGCAGTCTTCACTGCACTTCACGTAGGCAAGGCTCAAAGTGACTATCGGGCACACCCGAGGTCTTAAACAAGATTCTGACGCGTTCAACGCTAAAGAAAAATGAGTGGTCTAAGCATTGGAACACGTTCCAAATGCTCTTAACCACAGAAGGTCTAACCCGTCGCGCGCGCGAGGAGAAAGAACAACAATGCCTAAGGCACACGGAGTTAAATGCGATATATACACAGAGTGAACATGTGTGATAGATGCACAAAGCTGAACATGTGGGATAGATACAGAAAGGTGAACATGTGCGATAGATACACAAAGATGAACATGTGCGATAGATACACAAAGATGAACATGCGTGATAGATACACAGAGATGAACATGCGTGATAGATACACAGAGATGAATACGTGTATCTGAATATGTGCGATAGATACACAAAAATGAACATGTGCGATAGATACAGAAAAAATGAACATGTGCGATAGATACACAAAAATGAACATGTGCGATAGATACACAATGATGAACGTGTGTGATAGATACACAAAGATGAACAAGTGAGATAAATACACAAAAATGAACATGTGCGATAGATATACAAAAAATGAACATGTGTGATTGATACACAAAGATGAACATGTGCAATTTCTTATTAAGACATAATCAAATCTTAACTAGAACTTCTCCGAATGAACCGTACATACAATATCGTGCCTACATAAGAAAGAAACTTAACAGGTACAATGTAATACAATGCATGTTCTATGCAAGATCAATCAGCATGCTCTATGCTAGACACCAAATGCATGTTCCATGCGAAAGCGGGAAGTGCATATTCTATGCAAGGTGAGAAATACATGTTTCATACGAGAGAGACAAATGCACGTTCTATGCAGCTTACAATGCACATTCTATGTAGCAGGTATGGACAACTTCTATGCGAGTTGAAAGAACATGTACAATGCAACACAATGCAGCATGCATATTCTATGCAAACAAGAAGTGCATATTCAATGCAAGAGTGAAAAGGTGCATAACAACGCAAGCCTTGCATATATAACAAAATGCGCTAACGCAACATATTCAAAAGCGATTCATTGATCATGTGGTATACAAAAGGATACGAAAAAGGATACACTTTGTTCGTATTGAGTGCCATGCACTGGAAATACAGCTCGGAGCTTCCACGAAGACCGCTTGAGCTTAAAAGTATATTTCATGAATTTTCTTGAGAGATGAGGGCACAAATCAAAAACACAACCCCAAACAAGAGCCTTGGAGGTCCACCGGCCACAAAAGGAGGCCATCGGCCACCCATCGACCACAAAACAAGGTCATCGGCCAATAATTTGGCCGGTCGGCCAACAAAGTAGCCGGTCGGCCATAAATGGCAGATTCGGGGCAAACTTGACTTTTCACCATGGGTCTTTAAGTATAGGGTTCTAAACCCTATTTTCTCACTTTTCCCTTGCCGAAATCCTTCCTTCTCTCTCTCTAGATTGCTTTCCTCCCTTCGATCCGTGCTTTACACACATTTTCAAACCTCCCAAAACTTTCGATTTGCAAATCCCTCATTGTTCTCAATGTTTTGAACCGATTGAAAAGTGTTTTCGGTGCCTCTTTCTTGATTTCCCTCACTTGGGATTTGTTCCCCCAAGTCACCCTTGGTTTTCATGCCCTCTTCCGAGCCTTGATATTTTCATTCAATTTTCACATTTTCTTCCAATTTTCACCCCTCAGAGTTGACTTTTGGCCTTCCTACCCATTTTCCACATTTTCGACCATTTTCCCATCCTTCTCGAGATGGCGGATGACATCCCACATGGCGGAGCTCCTCCGAGGATGGAGATGGATCCCGAGTTTGGCCTTTGCTGCTAGGCATTCGACCGTTCGATCCGGCAACGTATGACCCTGAGGTACACGTGTTGCCTCCTGACGGCATCCGTCAGTTCAGGAGATTCGCGCGAGGTGCACCGGAGGAACTCCTGCTACGTGAGCCGGAGTCACACTTATCCCACGGCGCCTCTGAGGTGTATACTTCCTTTTTACTTTTCACAATGTAGATCGCATTCATATTGCTCTTTAGCCATTCAAACCAATCACATGTGCACACCGTATTCTCTATTTATTCTGAACACCTTCACACACTGTATCAAAGTCTGACACCGCCTTGCATCTGTTTATCCTAATTATAGGGAGATTCACATGCTTTCTGAGGCTACGGGACCATTGTCGCACGGGACTGGTACATGAGCTGCCCAAAGCCATCCGTCACATCGTCAATGAGGCTGGTTTCGATGCATTCTGCATAGGACTGTCACATCTCACTGCCAGCCGGCCTCTCCTAGGCGCTTTAGTAGAGAGGTGGTGGGACACCACCGACTCCTTCCATTTCTCTACAGCAGGGGAGATGACGATGACTCCCTTTGACTTCTCTATGCTCACCGGTATAGGGGTAGGGGGTTATCCGATCCCTTATGATACAGACATGGGCGAGTGAGATGTTGCTTAGATTTACTTGCTGGGGACTCGCCCACCCCTCTCTCGACTAGGGATGGTGCGGTATTCATGGTTCGTAGACTACTTCAGAGGGGAGACACTGACGACCCGCGAGGAGACCGAGTACTATGCCCAAGGATTCCTCATGTTCTTGTTTGGCACTACTCTCTTTGCCGACCGGGCGAACACCGTCGGGCTCTACCTCCTGAGTGCCTTGGTGGACCTGTCCCAGGTTCATTACTATGACTGGGGTGGCGCCGGCCTCGCTACATTTTATGGATACATGAGCTGCTCTTCTCGCCGAAGCGGGCACCTGCTGGGAGGATACTGGATGACATGAGAGGTATGTTCTTCCTTTCTGCTTTGCATTCCTGTTTTTCATTACCTGTACTCCATACACTGTACATTGCACACACTGCATACTGCTTTACATCATCTGTACACTGCTTACACTGCATATCATCTGATTCCTGCTTTATCTGCATTTGTTCGACATACGCTCACGGTTGTCCTTTTACATTCCACAGCTATGGGTATATATGCCTACTTCCCAAGGCTTGCCCCAGAGTCGGAGGTAGAGACACCTCCCATGGTCCCGTATTCACACAGATACGACGTGAGATGCCAGCAGAGGCCCCGAGAGTCTTTCTCATTCCTTCGCCGATATTTCGATACCATAGCCGCAGCAGAGGTAATTCAACCCTTTCAGTCATTTCAGTTCTACTTCAGATTAACATTACATCTCTAATGGCAGCTAATAACCTGTACATTCGTTATTTGCAGATCACCTGGCAGCCGTGGGCAGAGATGCCTGCTGGGGTCAGAGGCCAGTTTGTCGATGCTTGGGAGAGTCCCGATTTCAGGTTTTGCTTGAGGGCCCGGTCTGTTGAGCGTGGTTCTTAGGGTAGCGCTTCCTGCGATAGAGCCTCGGTTTGCTCGAGCCAGTGGTTCCGATGCCGTCTCCCACGCACATGAGGTTATAGAAAGGTGCACCCCACAGGAGATGATCGATTTCACGATAGGTTGGGACGCCAACCTCTTCAGGCTTGATGGCGACTACACTGTCTTCATCCAGACATATCTCATGCCGCATCGGACCGGCACTTGTAGGGGTGAGAGAGATAGACTTGCAGCCGCAGCAGAGAGAGCGGGTGGATCTAAGGCGACTTAAGCCCATGACAGGCGAGGCGAAGAGCAGGATGGCCGGAGCTGCCCACTTCCGTGACCTGCTAGGGACGTGCTGAAGAGACTTATTAGATTCCCATCACTCCTGCCCCAGCCGGCCACGAGCTTGTCTGACTGCGAGGCCCGACCCCGGTATGTACCATACATTACATTCTACATATTCAATTCATTTCAGTTTGCGCATTGCGAATTACTAATCATCTCAACACATTTTCAGGCACCCATAGAGTACACAGGGCAGGCTCTCGAGCTGTCAGCTTCTCTGATAGGGATGGCGCAGATGAGCATGGATCTGCACAGTATTTACGGGATCTCGGTAAGTTCTTTCAACCTCCATTCCAAAACCCTCTATAATCTGCTTCATACTGATCTGACGCATTACATTATCAGTAGTGCATTTGATACACTGCCTTCATATATCGCTCATGGCACCGATACACTGTATCCCATATACTACTCACGGCCTTCATATACTGCAATCATATACTGCTCACAGCACTCATATACTTCAATCATATATTGCTCATAGCACTCATACACTACAATCATATACTGCTCACAGCACTCATACATTGCAATCATATACTGTATCTAATACACTGTTCTTTTCAGATTCCTTTCCATATGCCAGCCCCATCGGGCACCCCAGCAGGAGTTGCAACAAGACCTTCAGCACCTCCTCCAGCAGCAGAGAGAGAGGGACGAGGGATGTCGGTACACAGCCGAGGTAGGGATAGGCGCACTCATACCGAGAGCAGTTCATGGGGGCCTGTCCCGAATGATGATGAGTCTGATGAGGACGAGGAGCCGGCGAGCCCATAGTCAGTGTCGTCTCAGGGTGGTGGGGATGCTGGGGACGGCTTCGAAGAGGGGAGCAGAGATGGTTCTGGATCCGACTCTAGCTCAGGTGCAGACGATGGCGTTGATGGTGACAGCTCTGAGGCCATGCCCAGGAAAAGGGCGACGACGACCTCTCGATCTTGAGATGGCCGAGGTTGATTCAGATGCTTCTTTTTCAGTTCCTTTTCTTTTTGCTTAGTTTTCTTTTTGCTGGTAGTATTAACACATTGTACAACCTTAGGCAGTTTTTACTTTTCTTTAAAAACTTATATTGCAAAAAGGTGACCATGATTGGAAATGAAAACTGACTTTTTGTTCAAAAAGTGTTGCATTGTATATTCTGAGCATCGCATGACATCATACAGCACCATTTTTCACGCACAAAAAAAGGGATTTTGATGAAAATTGAATGTTTGTATTGGCAATTGCTTAATCAAGTAGTAAACCGACTGACACACAATGAAAAGAGTAAGAAAACTCAATGAACAAAACAACAAAATAATAATTGAACAACCAAAACAAAAACAACTCGACAAGCAAAACAACAACTCAATAAGCAATACAACAACTCGATAAGCAATTTGACAAAATTCTTAAAGAGAGACGGAAGAAAGTGCACCAAGAGTGGACCAATATACAGGTTCTTGGCATTTCCAATACATGGATGGCCTGAGGAGCAAAAGAAAAGGCGGCCGGCCACAAAAGGAGGCTGCTGGCCACCAGAAATGGCTATTGGCCACTAGCCCTGGCCGGTCGGCTACTAGTGTTAGGGACCCCTAGAATGTTGCCACCTATCTTCCACTCACTGCCTTATCTTCTATAAAAACTCCAGCTTCGGCGTTTCGTCACTTCAACTTTGTGTTTGCCCCAAATGGAACCATTTTTCGCCGAAAAACTCTCCAATTGGATTGCGACTTTGGATGGCTCAAAAAAGTTGAATTTTCAAGGTTTCGGAATAAATGCACTATTCACGCTGAGTCGCACCTCGCAGCGTTTTCCGTTCCTCCATCCCGCGACTAGGTGTTGGAATCCAATAACTCATGTTTTCAGCTTTGGGGTCAAGAGAGGTGCCCCACTTTTGAAGAATTCCAAGCTTTGATAGAATCATAACGTGACGAGGAAATCTTGCCTCAATTTCGATTCAGCCACATCCAAGCTTGAGGGCGGACGTGGGGGCTTACTTTGTATGATGCTCAGTCTTGGATTCGCAATGGGGAGTTGGACATTCCCAACCTGATTCATCGCTTTTTTGACACCGATAACCGCAGTGATTTTCTTTGGCAAAGTTTTCGGCGACATGCCCTCTGTTTGTGCATGCTATCTCATTTTCTACTTGCCCCTGGCCTTAGAGGGTCTAGTATTTGCTTGATTGAGGTCGCCTAAGGCTTGAAAGAGGGTAAGAGCTGCATCGGCATGACATTAGCCGAAACCTTGATGAGCTTGGATGCTTTCTATCGCCGGGAGACAACCAGGTTCGCAGGAAGTCCACTACTCTTACAAGTAATGTTTCCCGCCCTTCTCACATGTGTTTCTCACGTCACCTGACCCTCAGGCTCTATTTTCCTCTCGAAACCCTTTCCTCACTTTTTTCTCTCTACGCACACCTCTCTATTCTTTAATCTCTCTTGTTTTTCATCCCTTCCCAAATATGGCTCATGGATAAATTGAAAGTAGTGGACTCTTGGCCAGCATATTCATCACGCGACTATTTCTTCCGACAACGACTAGTTGATGCCCCAGATGAGGGATGGTGGTGCGAATGGATGTGTAGCCTATCTGCTGTCAACATTGCTTGGTGCTGCCCCTGGCTTAATCTGTCGGCGATGTGCTATAGCATGTCTCGCCAGCTGAGCATTCAGCTGATTGGCCTGACACATTGTGTCTTTTACTTTCCATTCCAGTTTCGGCGCCAGTTTGGGTACGACCAAACCCACCCAGAAGAGGAAGTGGAATACCTAGCTTCATATCTGATCAAAGGCTGACATCTAGCTCAGTATGCCACAGCATGGGGGACGAGGGAACTTCTGGCCCCCGCTCCCAATTTCAGTTGTGCTTTTTCTGGCGAATGCATTGCTTGGCTTGAAGAGGAGACACAAACTAGGCCTACTTTGGCATCTGGGGCTTCCACAAGCTCTGGGAGGGGGCGCGGGAACTCCTGACTTAACCATGCCCCTAGTTTATTGCTTTAATCTGTACTTTCAAGTTTTCTTTTTTTGAATGTAATAAAAAGAGCAACTTCGATTTGTATCGAGAGTCAGATAGCTCTGTAATGAAATCAATGAATTTGAAAATTATGGGTACTGAAAATTTTTCATTTTGGTCCAAAAATGGTCTAAGTTGTAAAAGATTAATTTGTGGAAAATCAACTTTTATTAAAACTTTTCAAAACCATTTTCAATATGGATCACAATTGGACACGCCCAAGATCTCTCACTGAGATGTACAACTCCGGATCCAACAACTGGAAAGTTGCGCCTTGTCTGAATAGCACTGCACTGGAGATCACAACTGAACTCTTGGATGCAAAATAGATGAAGATGGCCAAGACAAATCACATGGACACAGTTGATTTTGGAAGTGTTTGTGGCTGGACATCAGAATGAATTGCCTACGTATCCCAAAGATGGGAATCAAGCCTTACGTAGTTCGGTTCGGGTTCACTTGTGTATTAACACTCTCCTTTTACGCTCTAACTTTTGCCAAGGTCGCCCTTTCTGGGTTTTCAACCTTGCGAGCTCAGTTTTTCTTTTTTCAATTTTTTTGTGCTCTAACTTTTGCCTAGCTCGCCCTTTCGGGTTTTCGGCCTAGTGAGCCACTCAGGGATAGTATTTCTTCAACTTGTCCATGTTGATAGGTTGGGAGAATTCAAGGCCATCTAAATCCATCAGAATGACAGCTCCACCTAACCAGATTGACTTAATGATGTAAGGGCCAGTCTAATTGGGTCTGAACTTGCCCTTAGGGTCGTTGATGGGAGCTCGGTTGTCTTTGAGCACTAGATCCCCTTCTTTTAGATTCCTAGACTTAACTTTCTTGTTGAAAACCCTGGCAATCCTGTGTTGATAACCTTGAATGTGGTACAGTGCTTTCAGTCTTCTCTCGTCGAACAACATGAGTTCTTCGAACCTGCTCTACTGCCAATCTGCCTCAGTTATCTGGCACTCAGCCATTACTCGCAACGATGTAACCTTAACTTCGATAGGCAGAACAACCTCTATCCCATAAACCAAGGAATATGGAGCTGCCCCAGTAGAAGTTCGAGTTGATGTCCGGTAGCCCCAAAGAGCAAATGGCAGCTTATCTAGCCAGTCTCTATAGGATTCCACCATCTTCTGCAGAATGTGCTTGATGTTCTTTTTGGCGGCCTCAATTGCTCCGTTGGTCTGCAGCCTCTATGTGGATGACTTATGAAAAGCCACATTGTACTTCTCCAACAAGTCGATCACCTCTTTCTTGAAGTGGGAACCATTATCCAAAATAATCTCATTCGGGACCCCATACCGACAGATAATGTTATTCCTGATGAACTTAGCTACAAGTGACGCCTTCAGCACTGCGTAGGATTGGGCCTCGACCTACTTTGTAAAGTAGTCTATAGCCACCAAGATGTACTCATGCTCATTCGACCCCTTCGGCGTAACTGCCCTAATCACATCAATCCCCCAGACTGAAAATGGCCATGGCGAAGTCATGTTGTAAAGCTTCGACGGCGGAATGTTCATGCAATTTGCATGGATCTGGCATTTGTGGCATCTCCGAACAAAGCCAATACAATCCTCCTCCATGGTTGACCAGTAGTAACCCTGTCTGAGAATCTTCCGAGCTAGCATCACCCCATTCATGTGCGCTCCGCACTCTCCTCCGTGGATGGCCTCCACATAGTTTATGCATCCCAAGATGACCCCGTTTGTACAATTTACCCCCGCAGATGATGAACTGAACAACCATTCTTCGAATTGCCCTCTTATCTATGGCATTTGCCCTGGTGGATAAGCCTTTTTTCCAAGAAGTTCCAGATGTCATAATACCAGGGGTTTTGATCTTGTAATTCCTCTATGGCGGCAATCAGTTCGTCGGCTGGCACAAACTTCTGTTCAATAATTATCGGACGCATCCGGACTCCGAAAGGAATGTCTATCATAGAAGATAGAGTTGCTAAAGAATCGGCGAACTTGTTGTTCTCTCTTAACAAATGGGCGAAGGTCAGCTTTTCAAACCGAAGAATCAGAACGTCCAAGGTCTGGTGATAGATCTTCATTCTTTCTTCTTTAACTTTTCAATCTCCTTTTGCTTGAGATACAACCAGGTTCAAGTCCCCAATGACGTCCAACCGCTTTACCCCTAGTTCTAGGATGGCTTCCAAGGCAGCGATACATGCTTCGCACTCTACTTCATTGTTTGATACTTTGAACCAGAGCTTGAAGGCTAAAGGTATACGGGAATTGTCGGGTGCTATCAGCAACACCCCTTATCCCATACCCATATTGGTTTGATGCTCCGTCAAAGTATATAGTCCAAGTTTCTTCTTCAACATGCAAAATGGCCTCATATGGGAATAGATGTTCTACTGCTTCATCTCCTTCCACTGGGTGATCGGCTAGGAACTCTGCTACTACTCTCCGTTTCATAGACTTGCGCATCATGTACTTCAAATCGAATTCAGAGAGAAGAAGCAACCAACAGGCTAGCCTACCCGTAAGTGCTGGTTTCTCGAAGAAATATTTGATGGGATCTAATCTCGAAACCAGTATTACAGAGTGAGCTAACAGGTAGTGCCTCAACTTCTTGCTAGCCCATACCAAGGCCAGACAAGCCTTCTTCAACGGAGTGTAGTAGGTCTCATATTCCAACATCTTCTTGCTCAGGTAATAGATAGCCTTCTCCACTTTGTCCTCAGACTCCTATGCAAGCATGCAGCCCATTGTCATTTCGGTTACTAACAGATACAATATCAACGGTTTCCCCAGCTCTAGTGGTGACAACATGGGTGGGTTCTGTAGATACTGCTTGATCTGCTCAAAAGCAACTTGGCATCGGTCGTCCCATTGGAATTTCTTTTCTTTTTTCAGGAGACCAAATAGTGGTTCACAAGTTAAGTTTAATTTTTCAATAAATCGTTTTATGAATTGCACTTTACCCAGAAAGCCTCGCACCTCCTTTTCAACCCTTGGTGGTGGCATTTCTAAGATGGCCTTAATCTTGGAAGGGTCGACTTCGATGTCCCTTTGTGTGATCAAGAACCCCAGCATTTTTCTTGCTGTAACACCGAAAGTACGTTTCTGAGGATTCAATCGCAACCAATA